TACGTATCTACCAAAGGAATATGAGCAACATTTGTGTTTTTGTTTTCATGAAAGCTTCAGTATGTTTCTTAATATTCCTGATTGTCGCTAGAAACAGAAATATAATTTGCCTGTTTTCCATATAGGAGTAGTAAGATTAAAGGAAATGTATTGGCAACAACAAGTGATAGTCTGTTTTTAGACCTTGTGTTATTTGAGAGGGAACGCGTCTGTCACGTCTTGTCGCTTGTTTCGCTCTTTTCGAATGAAGGTCTCAACACAGGAAAGTACTCATTCTAAATCAGAACTACTAATACAGATATAAGGTAACTCCGGTATATACGCCGCACCTATCAAAAACTTAATTTATTAAGTATTATTTACTATGTTTATAGTAAACGAACTATATCAGTAAAAACTTTGTACTGTTTACTACTATGAAAAAAATATTAGAAATTCGAAATATTTATTTTTCATATTAAAAAATAAACTTTTTGAAACCTCTTCTTGTATTTTTGCCGCATATCTCATAGGGGTGGGATATATGGCTACTCATAGGGGGAAAGGGGGTACCCTATAAGCGCATAATATTATTTAATATTAAATAATATTTTAGGCATATTCTCAGAATATTAAATATAACACTTTAATAATATTTTACTAAAATTATATAATATTAAATAATATTCCTGAAATATTAATGGATGTTTATATGTCCACTCCTAATAATATTATATGATTATTAAAAGTAACATTTATTTAATGTTACTTTTAATAATCGTATAACGTAATTAATATCGTATAAACATTAGAAAGTATTATAACAGCATTTACTTTAATTTGTAAAACTGTTACATCTGTTCAGTATAAGTATACATTTAAAAACTAAAAATGATTTTTGCTCTCAGTTGTAGAACTGGATATGTACTTAAAATCACGTTGAAACGTTTTTTTAGCACAAGATGCAGCATAGACTGATAAGAACTTTTCGTTACTGGATTGTGAATTCAAATTGCACAAAATTAAAAATAATTAATATTTATTAATATTTTAATGTTTCTCAGGAATATTAAAATATAATACCTAGGTTTATTATATAAGTGGACATATAACCTCTATAGAATACTCCCGTAATATTAAAAAAATATTTATGATATTTTCGAAATATTATAACATTATTTTAATTTTTTTTAATAATATTCATGTAACATTCTAGGAACATTTTGCGCTTATAGGGTATGTACGGCTCATGAAAAATTTACAAATAATGTAAACATGCTTAATAATACAAACATGCTTTATTATTCTACTACACGTATGTATCACGAAATAACCACTAAGTCTTTTACACGTCCTACATTAATCATTTTATGTAGATTATAACTTATGATGACGTTATTTATTACAGTGACAAATTGATTCAACTCACAATAAATTCATTAATATTAACAGTAAGAAGCTGAAATCATAACACAATACTAATATAACATTAAGGCATGTAACAGAGTAGTTACGGGAAAATTATCCCCATTCCTTCTATTTTTTCTGACTTCTGCGGTGTAAATCCCAGCGTATTTGCCGGAGTTACCCTATACGTTTTAAATATGTCTGTCAATAACAAGTTCGTTTTGATGTGATAGATCTTTCCTCAAGAAGACGTAATTTACAATACTCATTTCTTTCTTGAAGGTTTGATTTCTTTCATAATTTATACTTTTTTCTCCTCTTTTCCTTCTAACTAAAAATAATACATACATAAGTTAAAGCTGCTGCGAGAAGTTAATTTTCTTCACACTTATTTAAAACAACTTTTTGTTGATCTGATGGATACAGTAAGTTATGAAAACAAAACTAAAATATTTCTCTGAATATTTGGTGGAGACACAAATGTTTTTACTAATTGCTGACAACAATAGTCAACAATGTTTCTTTGATAGATATGTTAAGCTTATATTAAAGTAGAAGTATAGAGAAATTAATAAGGTGCTCTTGTGTACATTATTCATAGTCTCTATCGATAGAAAAATGTTCCATGCGAGCTTTATTACCATTTCTTGGAAAATTTAGAACGTGTGTCAATTAAGTGTGACATTGAATTTAACGTAATGACATCTGCATCATAACAAACTTTGATGCGCAGAACAAGGATATATTTATAGTATCGTTATTGATGTTACCTTTTACAAAATAACATTTATATGTATATATATTTAGGTACAATACTATTTCAAAAATATGTCCAATGTTGTTCCACTTTTAAAATAGATTGAACATTCATTTGTGAAACGTTGATAAAAAAGTGCACGATATATTTTTATGTATATGTATATACATACATATATGTGTACGTATATATGTATAAAATTCGTGTATATATAGGCAGTATTTTATTAAACATTATATACCTAATTATATTTAACTTTCTTTTCTTCCTATAAGCGCACATGCGCATTGCGGTACAAATTTATATTGAAATATATATATCATATACAATTTCTGACGATGTACAAAAGCATTATACTATATACAAAACAAATTATCAAAATATAAGAGTTACGAGATGACTTTTGTTCTTTTTGCAATTATCCCATGACTTAGCTAAACGTGGCCACTTTCTTTTAATTTGACTATCAAGGTATCCACGTCTGGTAATATAGCACCAGCCTGTCTAACTGGTGGGTCTTCTACAGACAGTATTTCAATTCTCGGTGTCACATCTACTCCAAGATCTTTCGGAGTAATCTTCTTAATGGGTTTTTTCTTGGCCTTCATAATATTTGGCAAAGTCGCGTATCGTGGTTCATTCAGACGAAGATCAGCACTGAGGACTGCTGGAGTTTTCATCTTGACAATTTCTAATCCACCATCAATCTCGCGTGTAATAGTTAATTCGCCATTATTGTTTTCGATCTGGATAAGAAAGAAGATTAAGATAAAACTTTGCAAAATGATAAAATTTTATCTACTTTTTACCTTGCTGCAGAAAGTGCCAGATGGCCAATCCAAGACGCCAGCAGTCATTTGTGCGGTTTGATTGTTATCATCGTCTATGGCTTGTTTACCAAGTATCACCAAATCTACTTTCTCATCTTGTGCTAGTTTGGCTAGAATCTTTGAGACATGAATAGGCTGCAACGTCTGATATTCAGGACCAGATATTTCTACGTGAATTCCACGATCCACACCCATAGCAAGGGCAGTCCTGATTGTATCCTGTGATTGCGTTGGTCCACAACTAACTGCTATTATTTCCTGAGCTATTTTCTTTTCCTTCATTCTTACTGCTTCTTCTACAGCTATTTCGTCGAAAGGATTCATTGAATGTTTAATACCATCTGTGATTACCCCAGATTTATCCGGTTTGACACGAATCTATAAATGTATGTATAAAATATAAAGTGAATGTTTTTCATTTATTGACATTGTAAGTCAGCATTTTCAGAATCTTAGTTTATTATAGAATTTATTATATAATACATATATAATATTACAGTGTTTACGATAATGTATTATTAGAAAAAATATTAAACTTCATAATGTTACAATTTTTTTCCTTAATATACAATATAGAGATTACGTTACCTTTACTGCATAATCAATTACTCTTTTTACACCTACAAGCACACGCGCCATTTTTGCACAATGAAAAAGTTAATACTATACAATTGCTTTTGTTTAATTCTTCTTAATTATTATCACCGAGAGATAAATCTGATAACAATCCTTTAAAATGTAAGCAAAGTCTAAAGTCCGAATTGGACTTGTACTGGTTGTGCAAGGTTATTTCACTAAAAACATTGTGACCAACTTGACTAACGAAAATGTGACACGCTGGACACTGGAGCGAACATTCGAATATAAATTGTAGCCGATGTGTTGATTGACGTTGACTGTCTGTTTTGAATTGTTATCTTCTAAGGCTGCGTTCCGATATATACACTGCCAATATTGAAATTCTATAGTATTACATAACATGAACTACTGAAAATGTATAGTTACGTAATGTTATGTATAGAATTTCAATACTGGCAATGTATATCGGAATACGGTCTAAAAAAAGCACTTACACTTACACTTGTTTTCATTTATTTTTCTTACATTATTGTTTATTTATTATATAAATATCTATACATATACAATATAATATGTTATAGATATAATATGTTATAGATATACAAATCTCTCTCATTTATATATATATATATATATA